CTCCCGATAAACAAGATCCCCATATACAGAACAGAGGTGAGACAGTCGCAGAGCCAAAGCCGGAAGTACCACCCTGGGAAGGCGAAAGCTGGACCTATCCGTAATGCTTCGCAGAAAGTTATCAAGTTTAAAAAATTCAAAAAATAAGCTTTTTAGTAAATATGAAAAATCAGGTTTAACAATAGACTAGACTAATTACTCTGTCGCTAGGTCTAAATATACTTTAGTGTCTCGTAGATTGTATAATATTTACCTCGACAAGATTAAAAATAATTTTAAATCCAATCCTAAATCTTTTTAGGATTTCGTTAACAAAGCCCACAGTATTGAAATATAACAATAAGGAATTTGTCACAGGCTCAGATATTGCTGAATGTTGATAATTTGACGGTCATTAATTATCAACTGTAGATTCATCTGTCTATCTTGGCATCTTGATGGATCCAAAATTAAATTTTAATGGCCATGTAATAACAATGATAAATAAAGCAAATGTTGTTTTAGGTTTTGATAAACGGTGGGCCAAAGAATTTTCTGATCCATATATATTAAAACAGTTATTTACGTCTGTTGTTAGACCTATATTAGAATACGGTTCTGTTGTATGGGATCCTCAATATGCAATATACAATATGTGCAATTGTACAAAATACTTTATACATACTTTTGAGTGCGATTGAGACGCTGGGAAAATGTAGCAATAAAAAATAAATGTTCTAAAATTAATTATTTCCCAGCCGCTATAAAATATCACATGTGAAGAAATTCGGTGATCTTGTGCGCTGACGCATACGATAATGCGTGAGATAATAAAGGTTATGACCCACGCGCACATATATCGATGCGCTCAGTAGATGCACAAGACCACTTGAATGAAATGTCAAGCAGCCCTGCAATGTTCTCCATTCAATATTAGAATAGATAAGAACAATTGTGTGCCTGCGACTAGGTTAAGTTAGATTAGTTTCAGTAGTACGTAAGGAACATATTTTAAAAATAAAACCAGAATTGAATCAACAGCCAAACCATTCTGTTGGTTTTCTTTTCTCACCGAAAACTGAATAGAGTTGATAATCGAAGAGAGAGATTGGACTCTATTCTACTTTACATTTGGTCAATCGAGACTTCACTTTTTTATAAAGTGAAAAGAACTAGCGACCACAAAAGAGAAAATTGTAGGAGTTTTCCCCCACCAGTGGTAAGAGACTCTCTCTTCAGAAGAAGAGGAGAATTTCTACAGAATGAAAGTCCGTTGAGGCATTTTAAATGTAAGACCATATGGGTATTTTAAAAATAACCGAAGTGATTAATTAAATAAAAAAGCCATTGGGGCAAAAACAAAGCAAAAAAGCCACCAAAGTGAAAAGAGGACAACAAAAGTCCCAATAAAATAAGAAAACATACAATTATACAATTATGGAAGAAATTGAGCAGATGTTCCTAATGCAGCACTCCAGCAAAACTAAAAAAGGGACAAGAAACAAAAGAAAAGGCAAGTCGTCGAAGCTAGGAAAGATGACTTGTCCAAACAACTATCAAGTGTAAGAGAGGGACACAATGCTGTCGAACTAAAACAGATTACAAGCTTGGAAGGAAATTCTGGAAATTTTTCCCGCCGGCAAGTCCTCATTTTGAGGAACGAGATGTGGAAGGAAATTCTAGTGTCGCACCCACACCCACACTAAAATCAGAATTGAATCAACAGCCAAACCATTCGGTTGGTTTTCTTTTCTCACCGAAAACTGAATAGAGTTGACAATCGAAGAGGGAGATTGGACACTATTCTACTTTACAGCAATAATCAATATGCAATATAAATGGAACAATGGAATAGTAATTTTGTTTTGCCTTCTTATGCTAGCAGGCTAACATTAATTAGATTGTCTACACTTAAAAGCAGACGTATTATGTTGAACTCCATGTTTGTACTAAATATACTAAGTGGTACTATACCTTCAGATTTCCTAATCTCGTCTATTAGAATAGATACTACCAATTATTATATACTGATTTTCACCGCACGAATTATTCAATGGGCGAACCTCTTAGTAAAATGTGTGTTGACTTTAATTCTGTGTAATTAAATCTAGAATAATTTTATATTTAAACAATTAACATACATTTTTTATTTTTTGACAAACTAGCTGATGAATTAGATTCTGTAACTGGTTTTCAATTTCCTACTAAATTCACATTATGATGCGGATCATGATGGTTTCGCGATGTCTGCGTAAAGGGAGATCGCCCCCTCGGTCAGCAGGATTCTCTTGGAAAGTCTTCTAAGTCTTACAAACGCACTTATAATGAGGATGAGGTCTCACTTTCCTCGTGCGCTAAATACCTCAGTACGTTCTTTGAGTTCAAACTGTGGCAAAAACGTCAGGTATCGTATTAAAAAGGAAGAGTTGGGGGCTTAGACGAACACAAGAGAAACACTGGATGTCTTGAGCTATGTGTGGCATGCGATTGAATCCAGGGCGCTCATATTCAATTTAACTACAATGCAGAAAGGTGCGTCCTTACTGATATCCGGAGCTCACAATCTGCATCGAATGTGCTGCTAAACTTCCAGCCACTCGATATTTAATCTCAATTTAAAGCAGCAAGGATTGTACTGGCCTGGTTATGCAGGATTCCTCGATTAAATGACTACTTGCGAGATAGTATCGCCTGAAATAAACATTCAAATCGTATTATATGGACCGAGTTCGTGCTCGGGATTCTGAAAAGAAAATAATAGAGCTTCAAGATTCTAAAACCATGGAGGACATAAAGGATGTTCTCGCGAGAGAGGGATTGGAGGCAGAGTTTAATAAAGATAAAGTTCCGAAACAATATTAAAAGTAGAACTAAACCTAAAAAAGGAAAGGCCAACCACAATGTACAAACTGCCAAGAATACGGACATACCAAAACATACACATCCTACTAGCATCAGTTCAATTTCATTGCAGCTTGCGATTATAATGCTAAGTACATTGTCTGGGGATCATTACCCCCAAATACAGACTAATTTTTAACTTAATTTCGTCCAGTAAAATGAATGGGATATAAACCGGTCAGCCTACTTACTATCCCTCCGACCTGCAAAAAATCTGACTCTTTGCGTCAATTTAATTTGCTGCCACTGGATATTCTAGCTCAATTTCAAGCAGCAGGTTGACACTCTTCACGGGTTGCCATGCACTACAAGCTAAAAGTAATAGTGGGAGTTTTTTAAGCTAGATAGGACTTTAGATCGTAAAAAATAACAAAAAATTAAATTTTGATGAACCTTTTTTTTTGTTTCAGTATACTCTGACAAATCATCATGAATAGACTTACGTTTGAACAACGCTACGAAATTATCCAAATTTATTTTGAAAATCAGTCGTCGATTCGTTGAGTTGTTTTATCGCAAAATTGTGTTCAGCGATGAGGCGCATTTTTGGCTTAACGGGTTTGTTAATAAGCAAAATTGCAGCATATGGAGTGAGACCAATCCACAAGAGACCCTACCAACCATTGACTTATTGAAATCAAAATTTGGCGATAAGTTGATTTCGAGAAGTGGACCTGTCAATTGGCCTCCAAGGTCGTGCGATTACGATTATGTTTACCACGTGTAGATCTTTTTAACCTAATTACAGCAAGGTATTTTTTTTATTGGGGAAATATCCGGTTACCTGGTTATTCGACCCGGAAGTTCGGATACAAAATCCGGGTTTTATCCGATTGTACACAACTGAAATGTACAACTTGAAAGCTTATGGAAATACCTTTCTAAAAAGTGGCTATACGATTGGTTGGTTTCAATCGGTTCCGGAGTAATACAAAAAATTGGTATTTTTGTACCAAAACCCATAAAAAGTCGAAAATGCTCCCATTATGGTGTATTAAAAACTGCATACTACATTGTAGCCTTCACTCTGGCCTTTCCAAAAAAGTGCTATAGGTATTGATATTTCTTGTAGTTGCGAAGATATTAGTGTTGCAAATCATGAAATTGAGATTTCCTCCACTAATATGTATCTTACCTTTATAGCTTTGTAGTTCCGAAGATATTAACTTTAAAACGGAATTCCGGCTACTTACAAAAATATTTAGAAAAACTATGGACCGCGTGGCCGGTGTTGGACATTCCCTAGAGGAGAAAATCTCAAGCCCCGGCCGAAGGCCGGCTACCTACCAAAATTATAATGTTTAGAAAAACTATGGATCGCGTAGCCGGTGTTGGACATACCCCAGGGGAGAAAAGGCCGGCTACCTACCAAAATTACAATGTTTAGAAAAATTATGGATCGCGTAGCCGGTGTTGAACATACCCCAGGGGAGAAAACCTCAAGCCCCGGGCAAAGGCCGGCTACTTTCAAATGCTTAGATACATATTAGTGGAGAAAATCTCAATTTCATAATTTGCTTCACATATATCTTTGGAACTATAAGAGATATCAGCACATATACCATTTTGGAAAGGCAAAATAGGCTATAATGTAGCATGTAGATCTTTGTACACCATAATGGGTATATTTTCAAGTTTGTAGGTGTTTTTCAAAAAGTACTGCTATACAGGTTTATTAGAACCTGAACCGGTTCTAATAAACCTGTCATATGATAACTTGTTGGATAGGCAATTCCATAAGCTTTTGATATCCATTGTGTACATAACAGTTTTGTAGAACCGGATAAAAACCTTATTTTGTATTCGAACTTTCGGGTCAAATAACCGGGTAACCGGGTATTTCCCCCCACGAAGAAATTACTTTCCCTTAATCAGGTTAAAAATACCCACCTGCGGTAAAAATTTCAAAATGATCCTAGCATAGCCCCTAAACTCAACTTGCTCCCTCCAACAGTGGAATATATAAAAAACAAAATTACTTTTTATTTACTAGCTGGACACGTTACGCTAAAAGCAAACATTCCTTTGTTTAATATTCCGGTATTCTAATTCATCAACGCATTGTTTATAAATATTAGTGCAACTGAGTCATATATTAAATCAGTGTCTACAAAACAAACCTGAAGACGCCATTATCCAATATACAAATGGAAAACAAAACACGTAATTCACTATACTCGTACCGCCGTAATACGAATTGTTTTTGAGCGATGATTAATAAAACCCAGACACATGCTAAATGATGCTAGAATGCGTCAAGTATATACAAATATTTAATCCAAAAGGTGTGTCCTGTCGCCAACAGATGGCGGCATCCAAATTGGATATTTGTGATTTTCAGTTATAATTTCGATTTTTTTTAAATTCTTCTAAAATTTGACAACCCTGTTGTGATTAGTGTCAAAAATTGTGGTACTCCGTGTTTTAAAAAAATTATTATCTCTTTTACTAAATTAATTAGTCAGATAAAAAAGTGTCGAAAAGTGCTTAATATTTTTTGCAATTCATAGTGATAATTGGTGTGTTAAAGCTGGTTTGTGTTTAAACTAATATCAATTTGCAAATGGTTTAGTATTACATTCTCCCCTTTTGTCATGTTTCTTTTGTTGATTTTTATGCATAGTATAAGGGTCTATTTGGTTTGAATTAATATCAATTTTAAAATTGTTTAGTTTTACATTCTCCTCTTTTGTCATGTTTCTTTTGTTACATTAGCTAACTAGATGTTGCAACATATCTTCTTGTTTAGTTTGTCATTTCAAAAGACCATCATACATAGTATATTATGTTTGTCATTCCGTGTGTAATTCATCGAAATTATAATTTTAGATATAACAAAGTATACATATTCTGAATCAGCGTATATAGGAGGATTTCGCCCTGTCCGCCTGTTGTAATCACGCTAGAGTTGAAACAAATAAAAATAGAAGCTAAAATTTTGCACAGATTAGTCTTTTGTCTGCAGGCAGGTCAAGTTCGAAGATGTGCCCCCATACAACGGTATTTTGACGATCGTAGCCAATTTTTGCAATGAAATTGTCCAAAAATCCATACTAGAAGTTTTTTCTAAGCACTTTACTCCCTGGAAGAGAAATGTCTATATAGGTCCTGTTTTTAGGCTTACCTTTTTTGCCTTTGAGCCTTTTGAAATTAGTAAAAAATTAGTTTTGTTTTTTATTCTCGTATATTATTTTTATTTTCGGGTAGTGCAATTTAGATATATCACAATTAGCTTAAGTTATGTAGTTTAGTTTTAGTTTTAGTTCACTTAGTTTTGTACTTTAAATTTTAATTCAGTTTTAGTTCATTAGATTTTAAGTTTTTAAATACAACTATTAGCATCTAAGTTTTATTATATAGGTGTATGTATTTTGTACAGTAATTTCACTTTTTGTTGTATGTTTTGGAACGTCTTTGTAAAATATTTTAACAATTTTGTAATGTTTTTTGTATTTTGTAATTTTGCTTTTTGTAGTACTTTGAATGTTCACTGTGTTTTGTAAAAATTGTTATTAGCGTTTATTTGTTCACTGTCACTTGTCACTCGGGGGGGAAAACTTGAGACTTGCGATCGCGTTTAAAATTCGGTGAGAACTAACTATTCTCCAATTTGCATCGTCACATCAAACCTGTTTTGGCTGTTGACGATGCCTATTTATTGGAATTCAGCATTGGAATTTACCGGTGGCTGCATAAATGTATGTGTGTATGTGTACGTGTTTACATTATTTACATCATTTTGTTATGATGCCATTTATGCGGCCGCCGGTAAATATCCAACCAACAGTGTTGGGCAAATTTATAGCAACTTTATGAACATTTTCTGGGCCCCGAATGACAAGTGTAAGTATTCATTTCTAATATACCATAAGGATCCTCGGTCTTCAGTTCCTCGGCATGTTCTTGATTGGCCCAGCAAACACGTAGCCCAGTTGAGTGTTGTACGCCAGGACATCTCCAATTCCAGCTGCTGTACACCCATCTTTACTTATGGCGGAGTACGTGTCCGCTCCCAGTTCCACATCGATTGGACTATTTCCTCGGGGATCAGGGTCAGCAAGGGCGTAATTTGTAAAGCATCTAGTGGGGTCTTCAAGTATCGGGTCTGAGTAAATGCGTCTGGGCAGGTCTTCGATTATTAGCGCATTTACCTTCAGACTCCAAGTAGAGTTTGTGCGGCGGGGCGAAACGGTGAAGGTGGTGAATCGCTCCCCTCTGTAGTTCCGCGACTGCAGACCCAGGCGACGGAACGCGGCGTACGAAATCTTAGACATCGTCGCAGATTGGCTAATAATGGCTCGCAGCATACTGAACCCCTCCATGCCCTCGGCCGTTATGCGTACCATCGCTGTTGGTACAAACACCAAATCCCATGCGAAGGCTGGGGTTGTAATGGCCTCGATGTTGAGGGATACCTCGTCCAACTGAGACGCCCCGTGCAATAGGGTATGGTGCCGGTCGTTGCATCTCCGGCAACCAGTTAAAGACGGGCAGTCGGGGGCCAAATGACTTCTCGCCAGGCAATTTCGGCAATACCCCCGACGCTCCACGGTCTCATACCGCTGGAAGGGCGTCTGTCTGCGGAACCTCTCACAGGCACTGAGGGCATGGTCATCTTGGCAGAGCCCACATGAATATTGCCAGTAGCTTGGTCTTTCTTGGCGTTGGCGGGGTCTTACGTCGGATCGACTTCTCTGTCGCCTTTCAGGGGATGTGGAACTGGGACGATGGATGGGTCGATTGGCGCTTCTTGCTGTGGGACGGACAGGTGAGTCTGGGCTACGGTTGCGATCGTCCAGACGGCAGTCCTGGTTAGGCAAGTAAGCGGCCATATCTGAAAAGAAATTGAGGCGAGTACTAAATTCTTTTTTGAGTGGGAATCCGACTAGTCAGTCGGAAAACAATTTGACAATTTTTGTAATGGGTCTGCTAATGTTGCCACTTGCCGTCCGTATGTCTACAACCCTGGTATTTTGGTCACTACCTGGATAGGTTTTTTCGATACGACCTAACTTCCATTCATGCGGAGCCAATCTATCATCTTTTACGACAACTAAATCTCCTTCTTTGATGTTCTCCTTTTCATATTTCCACTTAGTTCTTCTGTGAAGTTCGTGAAGATATTCTAATTTCCATCTGTTGCAAAAGTATTGTGAAATAACTTTGAGTCTTTTCCAACGATTGACTAAGCTTAAATCTGTATCTGAAATGTCTGGTTCAGCTGGGGTAAGAATAGGTGTTCCTATTAAGAAATGACCAGGTGTCAAAGGGGAAAGGTCGTTTGGGTCGTCGCTAGCAGGACTTAAGGGTCGTGAGTTAAGGCAGCCTTCAATTCTTGATAAAATAGTTGTAAATTCTTCAAAAGTGAAATTCATTTTTGGGATACTTTTTCGTAAATGAGTTTTAAATGATTTGACGCCAGCTTCCCACAAGCCGCCCATGTGCGGAGCACCAGGAGGAATAAATTTCCAAGTAAGATTTTGAGTGAAATTATTTTGAATTGTGCTATTTTGAATATTCTTCATGAAAGCTAGTCTATCTCGCTTTAATAGATCAACCGCTCCCACAAAGTTTGTTCCGTTGTCCGAAAATATACAAGACGGACAACCTCGCCGACTAATAAACCTAGAAAAAGCGGCAAGAAAGGCATATGTCGACAAATCGCTTGTTGGTTCTAAATGTATAGCCTTAGTGGCGAAACAAACAAACAGGCACACGTAGCCTTTTGTAATAAAGCAGGCTCTTCCTGAATAACTTTTAATGTTAAAGGGTCCTGCAAAATCTACCCCTGTGTTTGTAAAGGGTCGAGAAAGAAAAGTGCGTTCAGGTGGTAGCGAAGCCATTATTTGAGTTTGGGTTTGTTTTTTGTGAATTAAGCAGATTCGACATTTTCGTATGGTTTGTTTGATAAGCGACTTGAGTCCGAATATCCAGAATTCGGACCTTAATACTCGGGTCATTAATTGATTACCCCCGTGTAAAGTAACCTTATGAGTGAATTCGACTAACAATTTGCTAAGTTTTGCGCCATGTGGTAATATTATTGGGTGACGTTCGCTGTAGGTAAGGGCTGGCGATTGTACCAATCGGCCATTTGCTCTAATAATACCCTTTGAGTCTAGAAATGGGTTGAGTGTCAACAGAGGACTTGAAGGAGAAATTTGAGTCTTTTTCATAAGTGCGTTGTATTCGTCTGCATATACGAATTTTTGTGTACGAATTATACAAGATCGTTTTCCATCTTGGATTTCCTCTGATGTAAGGTCGTTTGCTGAAGTGCGAAGGTGTTGTCTATTTACTCCAGTATTTTTCCAGAGTCTTAGGGCATATGCGTATGAGCGATAAATTTTAGATAAAGAGGAGAAATTTTTTAAAGGGTCTTCCTTTTCCGCGAAAAGGGTCATGACTTTTGCCGTTTTGGCTTCCAAATTTGTGTCATTTGGGATTTCATACGATGGCCAACGGTCTTTTGGCATTCTGAGCCATTGAGGTCCCTGCCACCAGAGATCACTAGTCTTTAGCTCTGCAGGCGAACATCCACGGCTCGCAATATCAGCTGGGTTATTTTCCGAATCAACATGTCTCCAATTTTCTTGTCCAACATTATCAGCAATTTCCGAGACTCTATTTCCAACAAATGTGCTCCAATGACAAGGAGGCTTTTTTAACCATGCTAAGACGATGGTAGAATCGGTCCAAAATTGTGTCGAATATTTTGATATTTGTAGGCTATTCACAATGGATTTAGCTAATTTTGATAGTAATACTGCCCCGCATAACTCGAGTCTGGGTATTGATAATTTTTTAATAGGAGCGACACGAGTCTTTGCTGCTAATAAGTATGTATGCGTCTTATGGTCAGTATTTTCCACCCGAATATAAAGAGTGGCTCCATATGCGCTTTCTGACGCGTCACAAAATCCATGAATCTCTACAGAACCATCTAGCGTGTATTGAATCCATCGAGGAACTCTCAGATATTCAATATCTTTGCTATTTTTGACGAAATTGTTCCAGTTCATTTGTGTTATTGGCTTTAATTGATCATCCCAGTCAATTTTGTCTAGCCAGATTTGTTGCATTATTAACTTAGCTACGACAACTACCGGTGCCAGCCATCCACATGGGTCAAACAATTTGGCTATCGTTGATAAAACTTCTCTTTTTGAAGAAATATTTTTATTTTCCATTGTGGGTGGTGTGAAAGAAAAATAATCGCCTGAGATATTCCATCGAATTCCAAGGGTCTTAGTTGAAGCATCTT